TATATATATATATATATATATATATATATATATATATATATTGGAAAAAGGGACTAGAAGTCCACCGGTTTTGATTTTAGGCTCTAAAAAGGCAAAAAAAAAAAAAAAAGAAAAGAAAAGCAAAGAAAAGAATAATAGACCAAAAAACCCTTGAGTAGGCGGTTATTGTGTGAAGAGGTTCACTCTCGTCTTGCCGTTTTGCTTCTCTATCAAATCTTCGTGATTGCGTATAGAAAATCTAAATGAACTCATTTCTCAAACAATCATTGAAACTAGGGTTCTTGCATTACGACAAAAAAAAAGCTCCAACATGGTGCAGAGTCTTTGAAGAAAGTAGGGTTATTTGATGCTACGTGAATTGTTATGAACATTAGGGTTTCAAGTAAGTCGTTCAACTTGAAATTTTGACTGTGTTGATGTATTCAACATCATAATCCACATCAAGATCATTGTATTAACGTGAATTGATGTATTTCAACAAAACACATGGATAGATTACGAAAAAAATCCCAATTATGTATAGTTTAGATAAAGAAATGTGCCTGCGTTGTTGTATGTCATTGTCTGCCTATTCTATTTTGATGCATTATGTTTTAGTGATTACTTTCATTGTCTCGTTAACAATAGAAGGATTGCAAGGTATTGCGCATAATTGATGCGAGAGATTGAATGTATAATTTGCTACATCAAATACAAAGAGTTGAATGAGAAGATGTGCATGAGTTAAATGCTAAATTGGATGATTGAAAATGCAATTAAATGGAGACATGAGCATTGTTAAATCGATTGAGTGAATAGAAGAATTAAAGGGAATAAACATGAGAAGCTTATGCAACAACTTTGCCGGTTTGGTCGTTATAAGTGATGAATGTGAGAGATTAGTGATCTCATTTATATGATCATTATTAAAGTTAGAAAGATAATTATATTGCTTGAGAATAAGAGTTAAAGGTTTAGGGCAATTGAGTGGAAGAAACAAGTCAAGGAGTGAAATAATGCTTATATCAGTCAATTTGATATAGTCTCAATAATTTGGACATAATGTTTTACTTAGATGTCCAATTGACTCAATTTTTGTGGGACTAAAATGAAGACTTCAAGGGCTACAAGTTTGCTGAAGCAATAATTTTCAGATTCGAACATTTTCAAGGTGAAAAACGACATAGACATATGTTGGAAATCAGGATGGAAATCAGGAGAATTAGACATGCTTTGTAATTTGGACATAACTGTTTACTCTAATGTCCAATTGACATGATTCAAAAAGATTTAAAAAGAAGACTTCAAGGGCTATAACTTTGTTCGAAATAGGCCTTGTTAGATTTCGAACATTTTGGGATTGAAAAACGGATTGGAAGGTAAGATAAGAAAATATAAGGTTTTATAGAACTTCTAGTGGAGAAATCCAAACTTCCGGTGGAGGGATTCGGACTTTCGGACTTCAGGTGAGCCAAAATGGAATTCCTATAAAGGAAAATGCTGGCATTGCTAACTTGGACATAATGTTTTGGCAGAAGTTCGGGCCTTGGCACCGGAAGTCTTGACATGACCATTGGAACTAGTAACGACTAGTTTTTTGGCCTACTTCTCTTGTGCATTTGCCTCCACTATAATAGGGCTTTTTGAGGCTTGAAGAAATAGGACTTTTTGAAGGGTTCTTAGGGAATTCTTGGGCATTCAAAGGCTGATATATATTGAAGATACATCTTTATTGTAAGACCTTGACTAAGAGGCGTCTTGTGATTTTTTTTTCTCTTGTTGAAATCTTTTGAGTGATTCTTGTTTGTAAAGAGAGGAGAACATTGTTGTGTTGAGTGAACTTGAACTTGTAAGGTGAGCTTGAAATTGTAAAAACGTGTTTTCACCTATCGAAGAAAATAAAAGTGTGTAAAGGATTGATTTTCACCTGTTGAAGAAGATCGCGATAGTAAAAAAGAAGCTTTGAAGAGAAGGTTCAAGAGAGGATGTAAGTCATCGTGGAGTGGCTAAACTTATATAAATCTTAGATGTCTTTCTTCTTCCCTACTGCATATCTTCTTCATCATATAATCATTTCTTATATTGTATCATTGATAAAAGTCAAAAGAAAGTTAAACTTAGTCAATAATTTAAACAACCTAATTCACCCCTTTTAGGTTGCATTTGGCTCAACAATGATGACATCTTACATAAAAGATAATTGCAACCGAGATAATTAAATATAAAATCTATATAATAAAGCAGCTTATAATTCAAATTTCAAAAGATAAACAAAATGATTTTTGCTATTTGTGGTTGAGAACACTTTAAATTTTACTTTAAAGTTAATCTAATGACTAATATTAATACCCTAAATTTAATAAGAAAATTTGGCCTCCTAAAGGTGCGTTTGGAATAATTTTTAAAAGTACTTATAGAAATTATTTCTTATAAGTGTTTTAAAAAAATAATAGTATTTGAAACCGCCCCATTA